CCTTTTATTTGAAGAGGTCTTTTAATCGAAGCGGTCTTTTATTTCTAGAACATTGTCATAAATTCGATGGGGGCTTGTGATAGTAGAAGGTCTTCTATTCATATCCGTTATATATATTCAGGAAAATCTATACATTTAGAATTGGGCGGCTTTGCCGCAGATAAAAAATAAATATATTCAGTTTTGGATTTAAACGGAAGCGTTAATTAGCCTTGATTTAAGGCAATATTTACTCTTGGAGTAAGCGGATTGCGATCCGCTGACTCGTACTTGTTCTAAGTATAGAACGAAAGGTCGGTGACCTAAGTTACGCTTTCTCAAATCGCAAAGCTACCGCAGCCTCGCTGTAATAACTGCCTCGCTGTGAAGGAAATTCCTGCATCAGGCAAAGTGAAAAATATTTTTTGTGATGCAACATTATCTACACGGTCACACAAAGGTATATCTCCATCCAGCAGACCTAAAATGATCATGATTGCAAGTATACGAATAGCAGCGTGCATCTCTGGCATAAAATTCGTTTTAAGGTGGGTGAAGGGGTATAAAGGAGGAATGGGAAGCTGTTGAAGAACAGTTTCGAACCTGTCGTGGATGTTTATAGCGATTTAGCGATCTCTCTTACTCTGTTTTCGGCATTTCTATGAGTCGAGGTTTTAATGTCCGAACTGCACGGCAATCCGCTGCACTTGATAGCACTCACAGTCTAACCAACGTCTGAGTCGTGAAAGGACTATATACTCCATGAGGATGGAGCAGAAGATGTTCGAGCCCTTGTCTTCGGACAAATAGACACGCTCGTTAAGTCTACAGTTTACCCCAGTGGGATCCTGAAGCTGCTGACCAATATCAAGATGCGGTGATCGATCGCTTGGAGGCCTTAATTAATTTTGAAGATGGTGCTGATGCGACACTCCAGAAGCGCCTAAACTGAACGCCGGTGGAGAACAGATGGGATCTTTCGAGAGGCCGCTGATATTGAGCAACTAGCTCATTGAGACCCCGATGACAAATCTTTCTTCCTCTGATGAAAAACGTTTGATTCTCAGCAATGCTTCAGGAAGAACAACAGCCCGTCGGTCTAGAGGCTGTCAAGCTAGGTAATCGTCAACAACAATCGACCGTCATGATCTAGAGGAGACGAAATATTGCATTAATCAGTTAACACGCGCGGGAATGGACATTAACTTGTTGTACCTCGGTAACGGAGAATTTTATCGTGTGGGTAGATATGAAGCGACATATGTCGCTGGTGCTTGCACTGCCAATACGGGTAGTCGGGTGCTCTCGAAACTTCTTGTCCACACGTCAATAGGAGAAAAAAAGAAGCGAAATATTTTCAGATATGGAAAATTCTTTTAGACGAGTTGGCATCAGACCTTCTCCCGGAGCGGTAACGGTTGATATATGCACAGAGGGTCTGCGAAAAGGGCGCTTGACACCGACATCTTTCGCATCTGCTCTACTTCTTACAAAGAAGCTGTGGGTGTCGCATAGAATGTGAGTACAGGTTCTGGCCAAGATGGCTGGATGGAAAAATCTTGACGAGTATGCTAGAGGTGATAATCCTAAGCTCTTGCAGAGGATAAGAAAGAGGTCTCACAGCTACCGAGTAGCCCCGTGACGCTCGAAGATGTTTCTTGTGTGCCATCTGTGCTCTATAAGTGAGATTACGAAAAGCTATCTTCCAAAATGGTATTCCTACTAGATTCAGGTGAGGAAACGTCACGTCCGAAGTGGACCCCCGATGCAAACTGGATAGAGCGCATAAGGGGCCCACTTCGGGCTTGAGATTTAATGTACCTCGGTAGATGGGCATCAGTCGTAAGAGGAGAGACTTTAGCTCGTATGCGTACGGCTCACAGCCACGGTTGTTAGCTATTGATACCAATGCCTCGATCTTTGTATAGCCATGAAAAATACTGATCGATTAAGCATCGTGCAATTAAGCACGACAAGAGACTTACGAAAACATAAATAACACTTGAAGGCAATCGAGATGCCCTATACAGCATAGCTTTTTGTATGTCGTGCAATTAGGACGTTATTTTGAACTTGAAAGTGAAGCTGGAGTACTTTAGTTGTTGGAACGCTGTCTCGTCCTGCACGAAATACATTGGAGTTATAATGTATCGTCTTAACAGAGGTACTCTCTGTAATTCACGATGTAGAATAGCTTTCTCTTTTGTCTCATCCGGAGACCGCGAGCCATTGCCGCTTCCATTTCCGAGCTTAAATCGAAGCAACTAGCAATAACATCGCTGCAAGTTTGGAGAATACTATGTTCTGCACATAATTTATATCGTATTTTGCATTAATGTTGCCGACAGAAATGGGTAAATGAGTTGCCTAATCTCCATCAGGGAAAAAGCAAGTGATGCTTTCGTTGACATTTTCTTTCGATTCATAGCTCGTGTCTTCGGGTGATATAAAAAGCTATGGGCCGGCGTCTCCTTTGCCACGGACGGTTGAGATTTAAATTTATATGGGTTTTGCAATTTGTCGTGCGAGAGCCAGTGAGTTCGAAGCGTAAGTGCAATTAAAGCCTGTCCCTACGATCACGAGGATATATCACGATGCCACGGTGCCGCTGAGTCGGTACTACCGCGCGATAGGCCCACTGTGTGGAGCATCCAAGAGAAAGATTGTTTAATCATGGTAGGAGAAACCTCGGGTATATGTATCTCCTTACTCAAATGGTCTAAGTTCGTATAGTCCAAAAATGAATCTTTTTTTGGTAGGAATGTTCACGGAATGGTACGGTTGGTACGTATTAAAAGTGACTGAGCTTATCCTCTGTCCTTGATAAAATTCTATAGAGGCCACAATAAAATCACTCGCCGTGAGGCGTAGATCAGTCATCCTAAGGCACCCTAGAGCCCTACAGATGACAATTACCCTTTTAAAGAACAGTGTGTAATCATTGACGTTCTGCAATACAGGCTTGGTAAAAAAAATCCACTCGGTGCCAAGTTGCTGTGTCGGAAAGGTTACGGCGTTTGGCGTTTTTTGTGCATGTTTATATTTGGTAAATGCAGGCATAACCACAACTAAAACTTGAGGTAGACTCCCGTAAACTGTGACAAAAAAATTTGGTTTTATCATCTGAGCAGCACGGACGACTGCAATGTGTAGCGCTTTTGACCTGTTTGAAGGACGTTTTCAACAGCTCGTGAGCGACAGCGATTCCCTCTCGCTGCGGCATCATGCCATAGGGAAGGTCTAAAGCATCAACGAGGTTTAATCGTTTGGTGATACTGCTGTTCAGGCCACAGTGTGGACATGCACAAACCTATTTTAACTGTAATGTTGTACAGTGCAAGAGAAATCGATTGTGGGGAACCATGGCTAACACTTGCGAGCGGTGCTAGAGTGTGCCAACGTAGACATGTGTATCCTTGATGCCGGCAATATCCTTTTATGTTATTCGACGTAAATAGAGACCTGCGGATAAAGCGCGCACAGATAACTTTGTTGGAGATCGAGCAGTGCCTCTGTCACAAACGAATTTGAAGGATGTTATGGCTTGGCCACCAACTCGTACAACTACAAAGCAAACTATGCTTTGAGGGCCAAGATCAATAGATTGAAGGAAGATATATACGTGACAAGGCACGACTCCTCACAAATCATGTTGACAAGAATTTTCAGTGATATTGGGACGCTGCAAAAGCGGTTTTTTAAGCTGTAAAAATAATGTGTGCTCTGATTTCGACATTTACCGATCGGCGATTTTTATGTCATCCGTTTCGCTTCAGCCTTTGTCATAGAATGCACTTAATCATGAGTAGATGTGGATGGGAAATGAAGAGTAATCGTGTTTGAGTCTTGCTATCTTGATGTGGCGAGGATCAACTACCCAGTTCATTAAACGTATTTCCTCGATGATGAATGTTCTTGTGGGTGCACCTGCTAGGATCAATGTCATTTAAAATCTATACCTATCATAAATTGTCAACATACCTCCCAAAAAGAAAGGCAACAGGGCGACCTTGTTTGCTGAGTTTGCATTTGCGATACGGTATGAGCCGTGTGGGCCATATAGGGTGACAGATGTATTTTAACGTCAAGTTGTCGCATGTCGCAATGATGAAATCGCCGATTAGCAAAAATACGTTCAGTGCATGCGTCGGATGTGACGTGCGTCGCTTTGCAAAAAGCAACGGAAAGCAAGTAGTTTGACAAACTGAATACCGCGTAATCAAAGCGCCTATTTGCACGTCTGTACAGCTGTTCCTTATCCCAAGGCCTGCTATTGATTCACATTTTAGCTTTTGAGGATTAGTTCGTCATGGTGAGGATCTCGAATGCAAAAAGCATACGGGTAACATGTCGCTGTTGTCTTAGATAAGTCGCGACAAACGAATTGGTGAGACTATGCATAGGTAGCAAATCGTGTAGAAGGGGGTAAACACATATGTGCGCACAATGAAGAGTCTCAACGGACTAATATCTTGTCGCATACGGCGGCACTCGGCATAGTGCTTGTAATCCATCAGTATAAATGTCAGTATTCATTTGTGTGGAAATACATCCATGCTTGACGGCTCATGTTTTGTTAAAACTTTCTCAAGGTGCTAGATACCAGCTTAGATATATCAGCCACTGATTATCTGCAACAGAGAGTCGGGCAGCACGCGTTTATTGCGTTATGGTAGATATTCTCCGCATAACTTGTGTAGATAGCCCGCGGCGCTGGATCAAGCAGCTCTCACTCATCTTGTTTGCATTCAATAACGCAGTATTTGCCTCTTCAGGCTTTACTTCAT